GCATCACAACACATCAAAACCAGCCAGTGAACCCCAATTTGACAGGCACCGGCTCGAGACACGAGTGGCATCACAAAACATCAAGGCAGTTATTCCCGATGTAGAAGCATCATTTCACAAGCATCCGCTCCAAATGTACATCAATGGTATCACACCTCATCAAAGCCAGTCATTCCTCATGTAAACGCTCAATTTCACAAGCACCCGATCGACACGTACATCAATGGCATCACAACGCATCAAAACCGGCCATTCCCCATGCAGACTCTTAATTTCACAAGCAGCTGCTCCAGACCTTCCTTAGTGGCATCACAACACATCAAAACCAGCCATTTCCCATTGTAGCCGACAATTTCAGAGATCAAAATCGCGATGCCAATGCAAACGCTCGATTCCACAAGCAACCGCTTGAGACCACACACACACACACACACACTCTGACGCGTGAGTGGCATGACAACACGTTACAACAAGCCATTCCCCAACTAGACTCCCGGTCCCACATGGAACAATCGCCTTGCTCTCACAAAATGAAACGCTGCACGGCACCACTTGGACTGCACATGTCACATGTCCTCACGCAATGTACTAGCGCAGCAGCACTTCTGGACAGTGTAGGCCGGACCGGGCCTCTGATGTAAAGCGTGGTGGTGAGCAGCTCGAGGCGCGCCCCCGAGACCTTCGCCAGCACAGCAAGCTTCTCCTTCAGAACCTTGGCATCCTCGACAGTCACCTCAATCCATCTCTCGAAGAACAGAGCGGGTTTTGCAGTCCAACTCACATCCCGGTCCAATTTCGCATGCCACGTTGCAACAAGAGTGTCGTGTGTGGCACCATTCCCGTCCACATCTGAAGTTTGGATGCTGGCTTCCTGTCTCTTTCTGGCTGCGCCCAGAAGAGGTCACACAAGTATGTGCTACTATCAACGCAGCATGTGGGATGCGAACAGGAATCAATGCGCCTAGCGGCCTAGTGGTGCGGAATATCATGAAGAAATGTGTGAAGCCTCTTTGCTATAAGAAGTGGACAAAGATTGACGGCCGTGTTAATCACAGGTTCCATACAAGTGCCTGTGAACTGTGCTGATCTTGACATCGCTCGAAGCACGGCCTCCTGGACTGGACTCCCCGCCGTTTCCGCGATGAAAGCAGCGGAGTCGTCCTCATCTCCGAAGTCCTCCTCGCCCACGGTGTTCCAAAAGTCCGCTTCTTGCATGTCCTGCTCTTCGTCTTGCTCACGGACGGGCTGCAGCAGTTCTTCCAGGAAGTCGTCTGCCATTTCCCCATCTTTCAAGCCGGTGCCTGCGGTCACCATCACCAAAATAGGGAGCGAAAAATCGAAGGCACTTTTCGGGCGCCTGTCACTCGCTTCGGCTCGTCTGGAACTCCGGCGACATCGCTCGCCGGTCTCTTTCTCGACTCTTGCCCCTGTCACTACTTGTCACTACTTCTTGTGCTTGTAGGCCGACACAATCTGACGCGATGATCCGACTTTGAGGGACAAGTCTGTCCTTCTTGTCTTTCTTCTTTTGCTTGTGTTCCTTCTTGTCATTTGCCGTCTTGTCGCCTTTGCGGTCTTTTTTGCTGCGCCTCGGATGCAAGAGATTCCCCAACCTTTGACAGGTCTCAGAATGAAGACATCTGTTCTGCATTGCCATCTGTCTGCTCGAACTCGCGCATTGGGTAGTTGTGTCGGATATGTGTGAGGAAATCTGTCCTGTTGCATGGTTTGACTCTGCTGTCTGTTGGCAATCAACTCTTGTTACGGTGTCCATCGATTTCTTTCGTGCAGGGTGTTGGCAACGCATGTCACCTCTGATCTGGAGACGTGCTAGCCGTTTGTGTGCGGCGTGCACTGCCCATCGGCAAGCCCCGGTAATGCCTGCGAGAATCTTGTCGGAGCACCTTCAACACAGTCTGCCATGACAGCCAGGACTGAAGCATGGTTCCAGATGTTGGTTGACTCGCTGCTCTCTTCTGGTATCAAAACTTGTGTTTGAGTCCAGCCCTCGTTCCTGTTCCTGCGCCTCGCAAGATTGCATGGACATGCCGTCCCCGGGTTTGAGAGGGAGAAAGAGCCGGGTACTGTGAAAGACGCCAAAATGCTTCGTTTGACGAAAGGAAGTTCAAGTTGTGTCCATCAACTTCGTGGGGGAGTGAGCAAGTCTTTGGCGCTGGTGGCTGCTGTTCCATGTCCGCTTCATTCGTCGAGTTGTGGAGCACAGCAGACGGAATGCGTGCTTGGTCTGCTGGCAGGGACCAGGGATGACTCGGTACTTTTTTGCCGGTTGCCGTCTCGGCAAGACAAATGCATCAAAAGGCTGCTGTCACTGGTCGAAGCAGGCAAAGCAGCCTTTCAAACAAAGCTGCACGCAGGTCAATTTACTAACACCATCTGCAGGGTCCAAAAACAAACTCAAGTTTGACATGTAACTGTGCTCAAAACCTCGGAAACCCGCACCAATTGCCTGTGTGCATTCTTGCGGTCACTGAGGGCGAGGCTTGGGTGACTTCTGTTGTCTCCTTAGATTCCGACTCAAATGCCTCATGCCCTCTTGAGACTGAGGTTATCTGAAATCCATGCCGCAGGCGCCTGTTTGCCTTGTCTTTCGCCACTGCATCCTCATCCTCGCGACTTGCAATAAACTGTACACCATCGCCACAAGCAGTGATGAATATGATGCCTTCTTGGCATCCATTTTGGAAACTCTCAGGCATGGCTTCCACTTCGGACAGCAACGGTCGAGTATACATAGAAACTAGTCCCTGGTCACTGCTCCGTCACTGGTCGGTCACTGGTCGGTAGGGTTGTGAAGGAGGGGTGTGTGAATGCTTGCATGTGTACATGTGCCCCAACTTGGGACGAAGGCCCCTGCTGAGGTCTGTTGAGGTTATGGACTCCGAGCCGTCATGCTTGTCACTGAAGAGTCACTGAAGAGTGCATCACCATAATCAGCCTGGCCCTGCAAGCATTGAATACATAGCAGTGCATGGCTGCAACTGGCCGCGTCACCACATGCTGGACTGACTCTTTCAGATTTCAGACCCCTCTGCTTGCTTGGACTTTGGCTGGTGCTGAGTGCTCCGCAACTGCGGAGCCTGCGCCGAGCTGACGGTTATTCGGATTTTCCCAGTGAGCTGCGGCAGAATCAGGCTAGACTAACCGCTGGATGCCTGCCAATCGGCATCAAATTTTTGCACGCGATGCCTGAAAACAGCTAACCACGGGGTGAAAGTCGCATGCTCCCAAAGCTAAGTCTCAAGCTTGATAGCCGACCAGTCAACATGAGAGCTCTTCACCTTCAATCCAAGTGGCTTTGCGCAGCTCATTCAAGATCGAAATTCAACCCTCCAAGGTACAAGTGCGGCGAACATGCAAAGACACCACAGTCAAGTCTATCGTGGCACGAACATCGTCGTCATCTGAGCTGTTTGTCTAAACATCACCTGGGCTTGCTCTGAACATCGTGCTGAGGTCCTCACAAAAAAAGCAGTGCGTGTGTGCATAGACAGACAGATAGACGGACAGACAGNNGACAGAGACAGAGACAGACAGACACAAACACACACGCACATACCGGATCGTTTGGATTTGACTCATAGTCCAGTTTTCTTGTAGTCGTCAGAAGTCTGGATCATGCAGTAAGTGGAGTTCTGAGAGACAGTGATGAAGCCGACCAAAATTATAGGAATGGTGATATAATGCCTCTGTGGAAAACTAAGATGCATACGCAAGTTGTAAAACGAAAAATTCGATGGGCCTCGTTACAAATATTGGTAAAGAGAACGGCAACTAAATGCTTAAAGCGGTATGGCATCTCAGAAGCTTTGTACGGTGTCATGCCATGTATGTGCACAAGCAATGCCACCGAATACTTCAGTCGTCTTCGTTGGCAGCAGACTTGGAGCCTTCCCTGCTGCCCCTTGTTTCTTCTGTGTTCCTTGCATGAACAGATTTATGATATAAGAACCGCCCGCCTCATCGCCGCTTCCCCTCTACCAGGTGAGGAGCCCGGGGAGNNTCCAGCCCCAAGCCCCGCGCGCGAGCAGCACCCGCAGTTCATAGGTGTATTTCGTACTCCCCTTGCAGATTTTCCCCCGAGGGGCTCGGCTATACTCTGAGACAAGGAGTCGCTCCCCTGTATTGACGGAGAGGTGGCTGGCAGTCACGTCCTTCCTAGTCAAAAAACATCAAACAAGCAAACATCCAAGTGCAACTATTCCCCCCGTCCTGCCAACCTGCCTTGGAGGAAGGATGAAAAACGTGCCTTCCCCACGAGATTGGGCAGACGTTGGATTGCCACAAGTTCGCCGCTTCTCC